AGAAAGTGAGGACAAAATAGCTTGTGAGTGTTTTGCCATGACCAGATCCTTGCTGTGAGTATGAAACCTGCAGGTATTTCCCTTGGGGCAGAGAGAAACAACCCTAAAAGTTTCCTGGAGGAAAATAACTCCCTGTAAATTTAGAAAGGGTCACAGTGATGCCTTCTTTTCTGTGAAGGTGTGCACTGGTTGAATCAAAACCGTCTCTGTCCATTTTTCTTCATCAGCTCAGCAAAGAAAATCATTGGTTAATGCCAACATCTAAGTGGGGCTGGATGTATTGTCTGATCCCTCTCAATCTTTATAGGTAGCTGCAAGTGCTGTGCTTATCACCCTGCTAAGGCTCGAGTTAGTGCAGGAGGAGCTGGCCACACACATCCACACACCTGCTTTGATGCTGAGAAACCAGAGTTCTTCCAGGCTATCCAAGGAGCAGGAATCTGTTCTCATACTGCTGCCTGTTCCCATCACTTCAGGATTTGACTGTGGTGATTAATGGTATAAATGGTCCATGCTATGGAGAACTTCACCACCATCACTCATTTCTTCTGGATTTTGCTTAGCTAGAAGCACCCCAGCCAGTCCCCATATAGCAACATGCAGGGGACTCTAGAGAAGTTTCCTTTTCAGGATCTTAAAACACTTTGCAGATCTTAACCCTTATAAAGCTGCTCTCGGGACAGGTAAGATAGGTGAAAAAAAGAACGAATTTATCCAAGGTCAGGCAGCAAAGTTGATGGCAACTGCAAGTACCTTTTCCAGAACTGATGTCTCGCAGTTCTGTGCGCAGCCACAAAACTGAAATAATACAGAGATGCTGGCAAGTGCAAAGGGAAAACCCATCTCCAGTTCCCCTCCGATGGGACTGGGGGATTGCTCTGTTTGCTGGGCTGGCTCGCTGCTCGTGTTGCTTGTGCTGCACCTCTTCAGATGTTTAATCTTTCCAAGCCATTTTTGAGTATCCTTATGAATACCAAATTCTTAAAAGCCAAGGGCTAAAATACATCCTTCATTCACGAAAAGCGTAATGGAAAAAGTGCTGCCCTTTTTCCCTGTCCCTTCCATGCACCAGATCTGCTGCTTTTCATAACATTAAGTGCTCTTCATGTGTATGTGCCATACAAGCACAACCATGTATGAGCATGGCTTTCAGTGCTAATAAATATTAGTCCTATCCCTCAAGAAGTCTTCTTGAAAAGCAGCACCCAGGATTGGATCCAGTCCAGTGACAAATGTGAGGCTCTTTGTGTAGAGACAGCTGTATTTAGGCTGGAGCTTTGTTACAAAAGTGTCTGCGTTGTAATTGTTTTGCACAGTAGCGGTGTCAAAGCAGCTGCAGCAGTAGTCGTTGCCTCTTGTGGTGTATTTTGCTTCCCTCCTTGCACTGTAGATGTTAATATATGTGAATTTTTGTGGATTCTTGAACTCATATTCTTAATGTAATCCTAAATATCCATTTGAATGGATATTTCTCCCATTTGAAATGTGCTTTTTTTTTTTTCTTTTTTTGTTTGTGTCCCCTCCATCTTTCCAGTCAAAAGAACTACAGATAAAGAAGCAGTTTCAGGATACATGCAAGATCCAAACCAGACAGTACAAAGCACTGAGAAACCATCTGCTGGAGACCACGCCAAAGAGTGAACATAAAGCTGTCCTCAAACGGCTCAAGGAGGAGCAGACACGGAAGCTGGCTATCCTGGCTGAGCAGTATGATCACAGCATTAATGAAATGCTCTCTACACAAGCTGTGAGTCACCTCGCAGGGACCCAGGGTTCCTCAGCCAAGTTGGGGATGTTTCCATCTTACTCAGGCTGTATCCTGATAGCGCCAGGGTTTCTGCTTCCATGCTGTGTATGCCATAGGCAGCACAGTCCTCTGTGTTTAAAATCAGCATTCACTTAGGAGGAAGGAGTCACCCACTTCAGGCAGGGTGAAGCTGCTGTTACAGAGATGCAGAGTGATGCATCTGTGTGGCCACATGATTGCTTCTGCATGAAATGAGGCAGTGTGAAAGCTCTTGATGGAGCTTCATTAAATGACATGCAGCCTTGCTGTCTAAGTCATGGAGATTCTGAGTTTTCAACGATAGCAACCAAAGCATGTCCCACTGGTGGAAGGTGCTCAGTGAGTCATGGAGGAGTTCAGACTTTTTGAAGTAATGCAAAAAGTGGTGCAAAAATGCTGTGAACTCTCCTTTTAAGGAATGACCACGTGAGCAATGCTTTGAGTCCGTGCTACAACTGAATGTACAATTTTCTTTGCACTTCTTGCATACTGCATCTGTGCACATCAGTCTGCACAAATACGACAGTGTGAGACAGGGTAGCTGTCTTAATTTCTTTATGGGAAGGTTAAAAGTTCAGTATCATGTTGCTTACAGGTTTCTAAGCTTGTCATTTTATGCTTTAGTCCTAAGTCCTGCCTTGGCAGGGATGTGGACTTAAGTCTCCCACATACAGGAAATGGGTTAATCCAGTTGAACAGGAGAGCTTTTCTTTAAGCTGTGCCTCTAATGAAAAGGAGAGCTGTGGATGCTACCACCTCCAGCAATCTGCTCCTCATGGTATGGACCGTGGTCCTTCAGGCACCACCGCTCAGCAGCATCACTCGCAGCAGCGCTGTGGCCTTCACTCTTGGTCACTGTAGGTTCTCTGTCCAGTGCAACTAAGTACAATAGAGGCCAACTGTATCGCTAAGAAAACAAAAGTCCCATCCCATTCTCTTCCCCTCCCCACAGTCCTCCCCCAGAGTGTCATGAGTGGTTGCCCCATAGTGAAATGTCTCTATTGTCTGCCTTTCCCAGCTGCGTTTGGACGAAGCACAGGAAGCAGAGTGCCAGGTTTTGAAGATGCAGCTGCAGCAGGAGTTGGAGCTGCTGAATGCATATCAGAGTAAAATCAAGATGCAGGCAGAAGCCCAGCATGATCGGGAGCTGCGTGACCTTGAGCAGAGGGTGTCCCTCCGCCGGGCCCTCCTTGAGCAGAAGGTAAAACGGGCAGGAGAGCACCATGACACTGTCCTTATTTCACATCTTAAATTGCACCATGCCTTTCAGTGGAGAGAGGAATTGCTCTTACCTTGCAGTGTGTAGCGATGTAGATCATTTTGATATTGGCCTTGCCAGGATGATGGCTCGGTGACACACAGGATGGTTGAGCTGGCAGAAAGTTCAGCCTTTGTGAGCTGCTTCTGGCCACTTTTGAAGGATGTTGGAGGAAGTCTGCCTCTCTGGGCAGAAGGGATAGTGAACTGTCCCTTCAGTCCCTGAGCTGCAAATCGACCTTCCCAGTTTGTCAGAAGGCAGACAGCTATCAAATCTAAGATATTTCTTTCCCTGGTATTGGCAGTAAGTGACTTGAGAGGAAAAAGGTAAAATTCATTAGGGTTAACTTATAATTTGAGCCCCTGTGTTTTGTGGCAAGATACAATTTTACTGCAGCTCTGTTCCATTTGTCAATCTGTGGGCACTGAGCTGCAGTTTCCCAGTGAAATGTCATTGAAGTTGTGGAAGTGTTTATATTTGTGCTACTGTTTTAAGCAAACTGAAGTAGCCAGACATGCAAGTGTGGGACCTGCTGCTCCCTAGATTTCAGCTTGAATTGACTACCTGTATTTAAGGGCTTTCCTGTTGGACCAGGCTCTCCTATTCAGTGCCAGACACATGGTGTGTGTAGAAACGTGTGGCCTGCGCACACTGGGAAAAGGGAAAAGCCCTTGCCTGCCAAAGGAAGGCCCAGCCAACCTTTGTCCTGGGAGTTTTTCCCCTCTGGATTTGCCCTGTGGGTGCCAGTCATCACTGTTCATGGGGCAGCTCCAAACCTTGCTGATCAGTGATCATTAAATCGTGGCAATTACTCGGTGGCCTCCAGGTTCTTCACACTCGCTTCCCCCAGAGGCCAGGCAGATGGATGCTCTGCTGCTAGAGGGACCTCATCTGAGTCAAACTGCTCCACCTCCCGGTCAGCAGAGAAAGGACCTCTGAGAAAGCAGCACAGTCCTATTGCACTGAGGTCTCTAACAGCAAGTTGAATCTCTGGAAGCAATTTAATGTGTGAAAACACGATGTGGCACCCGCAGGCCCCCAGAAATCAACTTCTGACATCTCTTTGCAGCAGCGTTTTTTGTTTTGTTGCTATTTAAGTGGGGATTTTGTTTTTTGGGTTTTTTTGTGTTTTGGACCAAGGGTCCCTGGCCATTAATAACAGGTTTAAGCCATTGCTGGTTTTAATGTTATTACTGCCTTAAAATAGCAAAAAAAGGGTCCTTCAACATCTATATCTAGTACTCCTGCCTTGCAGCTTCCAAGTCGTGGGCCATTGGTTTTTGCTAGGATGACAGTTTCTTAGTGGCTGCTAACGGGAAACGAATGCAGCATCCACCTGCACCAGTGGATGTTCTTTCTGATTGCCAGAACCTGAGGTTTTTTGATCTTGGTTTTGGAAGAGTTAAGAGTTGCAAGTTTTGTTGGGTGGGTAGCTCAGCGATGCCACCCAGTGCATACATGTGCAGTCTGAGGAAAGGCAGGTATGTGCACAAGGTGGATCTCTGAATTTATATGCACAAACATATATACTTCTGTGTGTGTGTATATATATACTTACATATACATATACATATATATATATATATATATACATAGCCTACAGCAAGGTCAGTCTCTGATAGTCAACAATAAAACCAGATTCCAGAGGTCAGTGGGTGCCTAGGACTCTGTTACTTTTTCAGCATAGTGCTTTTTATTTTTGATGGTGCCCTTTCCTAGGAATGCAGCAGAACATGCGACTCTGTGACTTCAGGCTGAGCAGGGAGTAGCCAGCTCAATCCATGGGCAGTTTTAAGTTTCCCTGAGGCACTTGCACATGTTATACCGTGATGCTATGTTGCTCATATTGCACGAGTAGTGAGCACGTCCCAAGAGTGACTTTAAAAAAGACTTCACATTTACTCTTTTCTTTCTCATAAGCCTCTGACACTCCATCTTCAGAGTCCTGCATCCTGAGGTCATTCCTAAGTGCTGGCATTAGCCATATCTTTCTGTGAAGTTCAGACACGCTTAAGTCCTGTTTGTTTTGTTGTCACAAAGACTGAAAACTGTGTGCTACTTCACGTACTGAAGACATTAGTTTGAAAGGAGAGGAGAGATTCCTCTTAGCTGGTAGTGCTGGAAGAAACAAGTGCAGAATTTTAAAGAGCTGAAGTCAGAGAAAACTCCTTCCTCATGCTCTGCCACTTCCAAGCCAGCTGACCACTGTGCAGCTTTCAGAGAGTGCAAGCAGGGCTGCTCTGTGCAGAGAGTCGCTCTCCCTGCACTGAGGAATAGCAAGTGAATAAGGCAGTTTCTGAAAGCCCCAAATGGCCCAGGAGATGACTCACCCTGGAGCAGATTGTTTCCTAAATTCCAGATGAAGTCACCTTGCATATTCCCTGACTAAGGCAACAGAATGAGGGCTCTCTCCAGTGCCCTCAGTACAGACCGGGAAAGCCTGGCCGTGAGGTTGCTGACAGCAGGGGAGGTGCTAATGAACCAGGTTTGTCTTGGCCACTGCTTTTTATCCTTCTGCTCGGGTTGTGTTTTGAGGGACGCCTGATTGAAATCCCATCTTCTGGAGAAACCTGGGAAGAAGGTTCCCTGTTCGCTCGCTCTTACAAGTCCTTCAGGGGCTTGAGGCCCCACCTGCAAGGGAGTCCTCTGCTACAGACTGTCCTCTCTTTTTCCTTTCCCAGATCGAGGAGGAGATGCTGGCGTTGCAGAACGAGCGCACCGAACGGATACGAAGCCTGCTGGAGCGTCAGGCTCGCGAGATCGAAGCCTTTGACTCAGAAAGCATGAGGCTAGGTTTTAGTAACATGGTTCTTTCTAATCTCTCCCCCGAGGCGTTCAGCCACAGCTACCCGGGAGCTTCTGGCTGGTCCCATAATCCTACTGGGGGCGCAGGACCTCACTGGGGTCATCCCATGGGTGGCCCACCGCAAGCTTGGGGCCATCCAATGCAAGGTGGACCCCAGCCATGGGGTCACCCCTCGGGGCCCATGCAGGGGGTACCTCGAGGTAGTGCTATAGGGGTCCGCAACAGCCCCCAGGCTCTGAGGCGGACGGCTTCTGGGGGACGGACGGAACAGGGCATGAGCAGGAGCACAAGTGTTACTTCACAAATATCCAATGGTTCACACATGTCTTATACATAACTTAAACAATAACTGAGGGTGGCAATTCCACTGGAGCTGTCTGCCAACAGAAACTGCCTACAGACACCAGCCCAGCAGCCTCCTCAGTGCGGTGCTGACGTGTGGAAGCTGGGTGCACATGGAATATTGTATTCATTTTGTAAAGCATTATGTTTTGTGTTTACTAACTGGGATGTCATAGTATTTGGCTGCAGGGTTGGGAGGGTTGGTTTTCGTTTGTCTGTTTGTTTTTACTTCTTGGAGGGGACTTGGGAGGGCATCTGAGAAATATATGCAATTAGTCAGAAGAGTTGGCTGGTGGTTGTCACACTGACATGACAGCAGGGCCTCAGACTGTCGTTGTCATGCCATCCATAGGAAGTCTGAGGGAGAATGGAGACCTCCTCCCATGTCCATAAATTTCTAACTGCCACCCTGCAAAAACCAGGTGAGCTGCCTTTAAGCCAACATCCAAGGAAGGAACAGCTGGATCTTCTGTTCCATTTTTATTTGTCATAAAATTGGATACATTTCTAGAGTATTGCCTCTGCCAGGAGGCATTTTCAGAGGCTTGTAGGTGAGGAAGAAGGGTAAGAAGAGAGGCCAAGAGACACCAGGGCTCGGCAGGGCCCTTGGACCCAAGTGCCCACTCCGTGGTGTTTAAGAAGAGTCGTTCTCTCAGAAGGCACCAGTCAGCCTCCCGAGACCTGCACGGGTGAACCCGTCTGGAGGGAACAGGCTAGAAATGTTCAGTTATATTCCTGCTTTGGCACTCCCTGACTGTGCTGCTGTTAGCTCAGGTGAGGTTGGGCAGAGGAGCTTAAGTAATGCACTTGTACAGCTAATACTGTGACATCTCATTTTAGCTAAGCATCAGAATAATTCTTGGAGCCCAGCATAGTCCTTTTTGCTCCATTCAGAAATGTTAGATTTTCAGCCAATCAAATCTCAAATGCCAGAGGTATTTTGAAGAATGCCATAGTCACAAAATGCCATTGATCGGATTTTTCATTATTACACTACATCCACCAATTTATTACCTTTTTGGCTTGTTGCAATTTTCCTGTTTACATGTAGAGTGTAGCCAACTGTTTAAATGTTTAGTTGCCACAGTGTACCAGGAGGAGCTGAGCCAATGACTCTTTCCCAGCTGATGACTAACCCACATCACCACTGTAGATCTTGCTGCATGTGAGGCTCCTTTTTATTATTTTGGTTGCTGCAATATTTTACAACTTCTACAGTCCCTAGAAATGCTGTGATTGTTTGGCAGCCTGTCACACCATGCGAGAAGGCACTACTTCCAGAGGCTCCTTGGAGCTGCTGTACTACTGAAAGGAAGCAAAGGTGGTTGTGAAATCAATCCAGCCAGAAAGGGTCAGGGAGTCGAATGACTTTGTGGCAGTGTCATCCCTTAGTGCTGGCCATTGGAGATGCCCCCGTGCTCTCGTGGCGGTGCCCGCACCGTGGGGTTAGGAGAAGAGCAGGTCGATGAAGTTTGGCTTGAGGCAAAGATTTCTGTCTTGGGGACTGACCAGCCAGGGTTCTTTGTAAATGTTTTTCCTTGCACACTAATCATCTTGAAGAAAACACTAGCTGCTAACTCTAGGATTTGCCTTTAATATGTTTATAGGGCTCAAAAGCAAGGTTTTCCGAATGTGTTTGTCCATGTGACATATTTATATAGTAATTACTCTAGTCTCGCTGCTGTTCAGTACTCTCAACACGGCGACATTCTTTCATTAGCTAAATTAACATCCATTCCCAATCCTTAACTCTCTGCCAACGTCTGGTGAATCCAAGTGGGATTTCCAGCGCTTCGGCACAGCATATCACTCTAATCAAAGATGGAAACAATACCAAAATCTGTTTGAGCAGCCCCTCGGTAAGGAGCTTAGTAGTATTAACAGTTCATGGAAGCTTGGGATGAGGCAGTGGTGCCAAGGAGGGGGCTGGTTTGCTTGCCCCCTGCAGCAGGCGATGACCATGGATTGTCCTATTCCTTCTTCAACTGTGTTTTTTAATGTGGAATTGGATTTGAGGGGTGGGGGGGCATTCTTTTACATTGCGATGTTGTCAAAATGCAGCAAAACTGAGGTAGGAAAGGTACCTGTATTGTCCTGGATGGGTAAGGAAAGAAAAAAAAAATGAAATGAAAATCCCCAAAGCCCAAATTGTGTTGGGAGTTGCAATGCGAGCGTGGAGGGTGTGCCCGGAGCGTGGTGCTAACACAATGTTTTGCAGTTCAGCTCCTCAATCGCAGACAGCAGCAGCGGCAGCAGGGACGAGCTGTACCTGCAAGTTCAGTGGGTTCATTCTTTTGCTTCTGTTATGGTTCAAATTTGGTCAAAGTCTCTGGCTTAGATTGAGCTACTTCAACAGAATTCTCTCAACCCATCTCTTTGTGTAATGTCAAGCATGACTGAATGCTGAATCCAAATGATGGCTATCCCATATTGGCTTTTTTGTATTCAAAAAGAATTGTGTAGTAACCATTTTTACATGTATATCATGTGCAGACCTGGACTATTCCAACAAGTTAATATTTTAATTAAAATAGTTTGCAAAAACTGATTCAGATCAACTGGTCTAAATGTGTGTGTCCCTGTGTGTGCCCGTGGGAAGGAAAGCTGGCCTAAATAAGCCTGATCTCAAGAGGAAGCAGCTGTAGCCAGAGACTCGAGATCAGGTTGTACACAGGAGGTATAGGAGGAGGTCATTGGTGTCGAGTTTTAATATATCTCAAAGAGATTTTTTGAGATATATGAGCACCTGCAGAATATGCTAGAGAGGAGCAAACACTTTCTGAATCAGTTTGCAAACTCTATTTTTAAAAGCAAGGCAAATTACTCCCTCTTGTACTTGTCACAGTCATGCCCTAAACTTGGTTTTAAAATATCGTAACCCATAAATTGTGGAAGCTACTTCAGTACCTCAGCAAAGATGCTTTTACATCAGCTGTGTTAATTCTAGCACTGGGGAAATTCTTCTGTAGGGACTACTGTGCAAATTTTGCTGCAGTATTTCCAGATCACACCTACAATCTGTTAATCTATGATTATTTTCTCTTTCCCCTTTGCAAACACCTGAAGTTCTGATGAAGTTTAGCCCAAAGGTATAAAACCAGAGGAGCCAGTGCTTTCACCTCTGCGTCTGATTTGCAGTTCTTTTGGTTTTTACTTAATTAAAACCGGTGACCGGGACCGTGTTTTTCTTGTTCCCCGTGGTCCCGGGAGCAGCAGCCGCCTGTGCTGTACGGCCTGGGCAGCCCCCAAAGGGAGCTCAGCTCTTTCCCCCACGTCCGCTCCAAGCCCAGCAGCTTCCAGGGGTTCAAGTTGGTGCGGAGCCCTGCAGAGGCCATTCCTGCCTGCCCCTGTCCCCCTGCATCCCTCCCCTCCTGAAGGATGTGCCTTGCACATTCGCTGGGGCCTGTGCAGCAGGCGCCGTGGTAGATCCTGGGATGATGCTGTTTATTCCCCCGCAGGGAGAAGGGCCGGCTCGGCGCCGCGCTGCCCTTCCCCGGCCCTGCTTACGTGCCATTTCTTGGGAGGCAATAAATTGTATTGTGCCACTGTCTACCATTACTCTGTTGAATACGCACATCTCTCTGCATATATATATATATATGATATCTCGTTTGTATATATTTCTCTGCTCTCCGCATTGCGCTTGGGGCGCTTCGGCGCTGCTGTTCTGGAGCTCCCAGCTCGCTGCAGCGGGGCCGGAGCACCCAGGGAAAAGCCCTTGCCCAGATCCTGGCGCTTGGAGCTGCCTGTGCTGGGGGAGCGGGCGGGTAGGAGAGCTCACAGCGGGGAGCAGAAGGAAGCAGCAAAGCCAGGAACAAGACAGGGAAGTGCTAGGGCCATCCTTGGTCTCTCCCAGGACATCTGCTTGATGCTTCTGTCCCATTCTAGTGGTCATGCCATGGGCTGTCTCTTAGCGAAGGGGTCAAGCGGGGCCGGGCACGCGGCCGCCGTCCACCACGAGCTCTGCCAGCCGTGCAGCCCCTTTCCTCCCTTCTCTTTGCCCATTAAAGACCCCGACGTCCCAGCAAGACCTTTGGCAGGGTGGAGAGAACGGGTTTTGGCTGAGTCAGGTCCGAGTGGAGCACGGAAGGCCGGTTTGCAGCGTGCCAGGCACCGGCGCTCCTCGTGCTGCCGGAAAAGCGGAGGCACTTTTCCCAATCCCTTTTTAAAAGTCTCTCGCGAGTGTTTTAGGAGGCGCTTGGGTCTGGTTGGGACATCCCTGTCATCCCCGCCTTTCCCGTGCTCCTGTTTGGGAGCACCTTGGAGCGAGCCGAGCGCGCGGAGCAGAGCGGCCCCTCCGCTGCCTTCCTCTCCGGTGGCGCAAGTCGCTGGAGCCGGAGCCTGTTCGGAGACGTGTGAGATGGTCTGTAGGGATCGAAAGGAGAGAGACTTAGTGAACGGGGACGTGCTGGCAAACCAGCCCCTAGAGCTGCGGCTGTCTGGATACGCGCGCGTCGCCCGAGGACTCCTCGCAGCAGGGAAGGCAGTTTGGTGCCCGCCCCTTTGCTTTACGCCCCCCAAAACGTCTTCAAGCCACGCTCTTGACACCAAAAAAAGGGGAGATCCTTCCCTCTCTGCCTGCTCGCTCCGCAGGGCAGGAGCTGCCACCAGGGCTGTGTCCGAGCCCGGCATCGCCCGCCCCGCTCCCCTGCACACGGGTGCCCCCGGACACGCACGCTCTGCCCTTCTCCCTGGCAATCCGCTTAGTTGTTGTGAGTAAAAACACTGTAATTACCTGTAAATATGTAGTTTAACAAATTGACCTAGTTTCTGTATTTTTTAAGTTGTTGGTTTTTTGTTTTGTTTTGTTTTTTTTTTTTTGTACTAAAATTTATAGAGACAGTACGTGCCAGCTAGCAAAAAGCTACTGTAGCGGCCGGGCGCCGGGGGTGGCCGTGTTGCCCCGAGGGGTCCTGCTCCGGCCCCGCGAGCCGCTTCGGAGCGTCTTACTGCTGTGTTTCTCCACAAGCTCTGTCGGAACGGTGCGTTTCCCCCTTCCAAACGCTTTGCTCTCGAACCTGAGCCGATCTCCAGCTACCGGAGGAGGAGACGCGTTTCATGGAAGGGCCTTGTCCGCTCGCAGCGCCGGGATCACGCGTTTCTATGGCAACGCGGAGCTCCGGCCAAGGATGCTCCGTGGCCGGGCTCGTGTTTGCGTGGCCGGATCCCTGGTAGGACATAGGAGTCCAGTGGCATCAGCGAGGAGCGGCGTCGGGCGCACAGGGCTTGGGCGAACAACCCGCCCGCTTCCTTCCTTCCTTCCTCTGGTTTTCCTCATCTCCCAGCCCCTCTCGGCTCTCCTCCCGGCTCGCTTGGAGCAGGGACATTTGTACAGGACAGCACGGGGCCAGGCCGCTGTAAATACATCTCCCCTTGCAAAGCCAAGGGGGTCTCTGGTGACGGGTACCCGCGAGAAGCCCGTGTTCACCCTTCGGTTGTGCCAGGAGCATCCCGGCCCCGCGAGCGCGCGGGGACCCGCTCCGGCATGCGCCAGGATGGGGAGGAGATGTGTGTCTATAGTGTATATTTTTTACAAAATAGCTTGCTTGTATTGTGAAGAGTTCTAAAGATGGACTTGAGAAGTCCAGCCTAACTATTAATTAACACGAGTTTAACATCAGTCGCCCCACAGTTTGGAGCCTCTTGAATGTATAGTCCTTTTTGTAACCGAAACGACCTAGTCTTCTACCAGACAGCCAGGCAGCCTATTTAATATCTGTAATTTTATCTCTTGCTTTCCATTTGGTCTCAGTACTTCCAGCATGTTTCTGGATTTGGTTTTTGGTTCCTTTTCTTGCACACACATAGTGTGAGATCAAAAAACCGTTAATGCAAAGCTGGGTTTTGTTTTTAATTATTATTATTTCCAACCTGGTTCCCCCTCCTTTCCTCTCCTCTGCCCCTCTTTTGGTTCTGTTTTTTTTTTTATTTTCCCTCCTCCAACAGTTTGGGCTTTTCCGGGATGGGATGTGACGGGTGGCAGGAGGGAGGGCTGGTCCCGTTTGCAGCTTCTGGGCAAATGCCAGGGCTTTTGCCAGGCCATGAAAGAGCATCACCTGGTTGCTTAAAATAAAACACACAAACAAAAAAACAACCTTACTGGGTGGCTACACGGGGACACACTCGCCGTGCCTTGGGTTTGCTCCTACCCGCCACGTGTGCACAGGGCACGAGCGCTGCCCACGGTCCCTTCTGCCGCCCTTCCTCCTCCTCCTCCTCCTCCCTCTCTGCAAGGCAGCCCAGGCCCCGGGCGCTGCAGCGCAGCCGTTTTAGCAACATCCCCCCCGTCGGGGCCGTTTTGCTGCGCCGGGACGCGCAGGACCGAGCTGGAGCACCCGCTGTAGGAGACCCGCTGCCCGTGGGCGTTTTCCTTCGCCTGGGAAACGCCACACGCACTAACTGGTAAGGCTTAATGTACAGTATATTGTCAGTATTCTGGTATTCTGGTTCAGCATACATTATAGCTCATATATAACCTGTATTAATTGTATAGATTGTGCATTTAAAGCTGTTACCAAGTTGTCAGAAATAAGAAGAAAAAAAACAAAAAAAAACAAAAAAAGAACATAAGGTCCTATGTAATATTTTGTTTGTAAGTATCCTTTGTATCATAGCAAAGGAAATGTTAAAAAAAAAAGCAAAAATCAACTGTAATAAAGTAATTTTAGTACGTGGAGTGTCTGCGTGGGTTCCTGGGGGTGCCAGGGGGGTCCCGGCCGTGCAGCGGCCCCGTCGGAAGG